AAAAAAAAAAAAAAGCCATGTTTCAGCTCGCCATTTGTCACCGAGACCCCCTGACGTAAGGTGCTGTACAAGCGTCAGCTACTGTGAACACCACGGGGGCCAACTAAGCCCCATGTAACTCCACCCCGGGTGTAAAGCTGGCACAACCCAGCACCCCAGGGGGATTCTGCGGTGGGATGAAACGTGTCGCTCGGCAGCAAAGCAAAGGCAGGTATAAAAGAAAAAGCAGATGTGTCTAAATAACACCAGGGGAAAGTCCTGAAAGGTGTTAAACCGCCTCCCCTGACCAAGGACCCAACAGCAGCGGCGTTCACTTCAGAGGACTTTCACCCCTTTGATTTGAAGGCCACTGCCCTGCACTGCAGCCTCCTCTCACCATTTTGATTCCGTCCCACGGGTTCCTGCAGCATCTCCTTAGGGAAAGCGACTGCCCCCTCCCCGGGAGCCTCTCCCGGCGCAGTCCCGGCCCGGGGGCTCAGCAGTCGCCCCCGTTTTCTGCCCCTGTGCTCCGCTCTATACCTGCAGGTTTATAGCCAGGCCTTGCCCCGTGCTTTCAGCTACCGCAGCCTAAACTCAGAATATCCACATGTAACACGGTCAGTTTATACTGGTGTAACTGCAAAAATTTGATTTTTTTTTTTTTTTTGCTTCTCCAAAACACAAAAGACCTTTAAGCTGCCCAGTTCCAAGACGAAACAGCGAGCATGATCAACTTCTGTTACATGCCCCATGGCTGATAACCAATGCCAAAACAAAGTTGCTTTTATTAATACCAAAAAAATGTCTTTAGAAATGCTATATGAAGTGTTACTATTGTGTTAATGCTCTTTTTTTTAATAGAAGGAAAACTTCGCCCTTAAGTTTTTACTGCAACAAGAAAGTTGGGTGGTTTGGATTTTTTTTTAGCTCTTTTACAGCAATTTCAACTCTTCCTGAAATACGTATTTGAATTCCTGAAATCAGTTTGAATGTAGAAGTCATGGAAGTACCACTTCATTAGACCAAGTAAAACCACTGTATGTATGTAGCAGGGATAAATGTTTTGCAGCTGTACTTCATTTGTCCGATGACTATCCATCATTTGTTGTAATTTTTTTTTTTTTACTTCATTGAGTTTGTATTTTTCGGCTTTTATGTTCAAAATATGTTTATAGCTTTATAAATAAAGTAATTGCCAGACTGGCTATTCAAAATAGGCCACTGGAAGTTATAATCCTATCAAACTCTCAAATAACTATTTCTTAGAATTCACGAGGATTCCTGCTTTTATTTTTTTCCCCCTTCAGTATCTGTATGTGTGAATAGCTTTTAGATTAATTGCCAAGAGTCTTCAATGGGCAAGACAAATAGCAAACCAAGACTAAGAAAAAACACCTTTTACAATCCCTACTGCCACCTTGCCTTCCCTCTCCCTACCTCACACTTAATCACTCCAGCCAAGAGCAGCTATCCCCGATCATGCCATGACTTTAAAGAAAAAAAAAAAAACACAACAAAACCACACACGGTTAAGGCAGCACCATACAAGTTAAGCAGCAACATCAAGTTTAACAGTGGGAAATCAGGCAGTCTCTCCCCCGCTTGGCAACTTCAGAGCACACAGCTGGTGTCTGTGACAGCAGCAGGAACTATGTGGCTCAGCTAGAGAGGAGGATCCCTGAGCTGTCTCAAGCCTTGGTGAAAAGCAGCTTCCTCCGCAGCCCCGCGCTGACCCTACTGGAGCGGGCAAACAACTGAGAGAGCGCAGCTCCAGAGGTTAAAAAAGGTGTTTTCTCACACTGACAGGCGCGTCAGGCAGCTACTGAATTGGAATCCAGATGAAGTCTGAGACAGTACTACGGGGGAATTTCAATTAGAGAGATTAAGTTGTATGGAATCCTGACTACCAAGCCTACTGAAAATATCTGTCAAAACTAAATAACACTTTGAGCACCCAGACCAGCCCTTTCTTTTCTGCATGCTGCTAAGCTGCACCTCCACCACCCCAGAGCTTCAGCACAAGCTCCCCCACTACAGCAGCTGACCCCCAAGGGCTGTGTTTGAGGCGAACTGTTCTAATAATTAGTCAGTTTTACCACAGGGTCACAGGTGTGTTCTGTGCAGGTATGGCAAAGGAACGAAGACAAACTACGTGTCGTCGTCTCTTCCTCATCCTACAGCCCAGCGAGGTAACGAACAGGGATCCTATTGACACAGGTCAATAATATTAACTTTGCTATCATCAGTTATTTTTAGTCAGATATTCTGATGACGAGCACCTAAAGGCATTTGACTAGGCTCCTACCACTGAACACAATTACAGTACAGGCTTCTCTATCAGCAACACAGCACTCCAAGGATGAAACCAGTATACTCCAGAACACCAGCTTCACACACAGATGGATTTATTTCTTGTAAAGATCCAGAATAAGCTGAATATTAAACTACGAACACAGCCACAGAAACAACTGTCAACAGATTATTTTCTCTGGTAGCACTTTTAAACTGAGGCGTATTGTTTGCAACACAGGATGCTGTAAAGGCTTCATCATGTCCAAATCTATCGCTGGAATATTTTATGCCCATTGACAATACAATATCTATAATATGCACCCCAGCAGCCTCATGAATAAGCAGGTGAGCAGCTGCCACATCCAAAGCATGGGTCTGAATGCTGCTTTAGAGCAAGTTCTGAATGCTTTCACTAACAGCTACATCAAAGCAAGAGTACCTAAAAGCTAGTAAGCCATTAAAAAAAAAAAAGTATCTAGATCACTTAATATTTAGCTTCCAACTTAATTCAAGAAGTTGCCCACTACATCTAACTAGTGCTTTGCATTAAGTCATTTAACAAAATCTTTACATCAGTGCTACTCCTTGTAGACTCAGTAATAACTGACAGTAAGATTGTCTAGTTTCAAATAACTAGAATCATTTGCAAACAAAAGTTTAAAAGCCCTTTATTAATTCAGAAGTGAAACACTGATATTTAAAGTGAGATAAGTATGTTTATTAAGGTTCATTCTACTCTAAGGTTTATACAGAGAATGGAATGCAATACAAGCTAGGAGCACACCTCAAAGAGCTACCACACAACCATCCCCTACTCCCTATAAGGGAACTGTAAAAAAAAAAAAAAAAAATTAAAAAAAAAAATCAGAAAACCAGTTACTGTTTAACTAGTTGCAAGTGGCTTTGTCCAAAGACGTTAAGCTTGATATTGCATTAGCTTTGTATGCAATAATTAAGTCTCTACAAGCTGAAGTATCACATACAGAGGCGTTAAGATTTCCTGTGGACACATGAAACCATGTTTTCAAGAGCTACATCACAAGGGTTGTTTAAAATCGCCTAAAAACCAGCCACTAATGGCATGCACAGGTCAATAATATTAACTTTGGTAATGTCAGTCATTTTTGGTCAAATCTGGCTTCCACTTTTAACAGTAACAGGTATAAAAACACACCCACCCTGTGCATAAAGCAACAGACGTTTCATTTGCTACCAGCTAGAGGCAGGTCTTCAAGACATGGCTGAAGTACTCAAATTTAACTGTCAGGAGCTTGCTCAGTTCTAGATCACATCTCTCACTAGGCCATAAAGCAAGACTAACAGGACAAGGAAGTGGTCAAATATTTTTTCCTTTTTTTAAATGCAGGACAAGAACCATCTTGAAAATTATGTAGCTTTAAGTAACACTAGTTTTCCCCACAATGTTTTTGGAAGAAATCCAGTAGCTTTTTTAAATTTTATCTAGTTCCCCAAGACATGTTCTAGTTTGTTTTTCTTTCTGAAGCTATCAATACCCTGTAAATACAAGTGTTCTGTTCTTCTTGAGGAAGAAGTCATAGGTGTTTTTATTTACAATGGAGTCAATCCTTCACATTGTAACTGGACTTGAACAGTTTAAAAGTGTAATGAAAATTATAACCTTAAGTGCTACTTTCCATATAGAATCCACACTTAGTTCAGGTTTATTCGTTGCAGAGTAAAGTAAAAAGACATCCAATTACACTAGTAAAAACTCGGAAGATTTAAATTTGTACTCAAAAAAAACCACCACTACACATGCAAAGGGAACAATATCCTGCTAACACAACTTCATTTGCTGCTGCATTTGTCTAATATTAACAATTATGAACAGAGCAGTGCAACTAGTATTTGGAACAATCCTTACAGTGTTCGAGTGTCAGGCACAATACTTCACTTCTCTTCACACCACTGGTTCTCTTTACGTACCTGAAAGAACATTTTAACCATTAATACGTTGCAGTGAAATTCTAAATTCCCATAAGCATTCAGAATTACTTATTGCAGGAAGGCATTAACTTGGAAGCAACTTTAATTCTTCGTGCAGGGTTTGTAATGAGAAGGTCAGTCTTCCAAACTGACCTATTTATTGATATAAACCAAGAAATTGATTTCTCATGTCTAGATTTGATCAAAACTGATTTTTTTTTTTTTTTTACACCAAGCAAAGCAAATGGACTAGCTTAAGACTAAATGGCTCATTTCATGACATAAGACAAACTAAAGCACACAGCTCATTGCGCCTTTGTATTTAAACAAGGAATCTTGCTCTGATCTTTCCCAACTCTGCCATTGTGCTGTTGGTTTGCTGTTCAAGTTCTAAGATCGGTAAGTTCATTAAAGACAAGAATCCAAACATCTCTTTCTAGCCACATGCGACAACACATCTTCAGCATTCTTACGACAACTCCAAAACAGCAAACGAAGGCTGCCACAAACAATCCCACATGCCTTCTTACCAGCCACACATCTGAGCTAGGAAATCAATATGCTTTGTTTCGACCTTTTCAGGGCTGTAAGCACTGCAGACCAAAAGGTCTTCCACTAGTAGCAACCCAATTATAAAAGAGTTGATGCATTAGTTTACATTCACTGTTAACAAGTCAGTAGCTTCACACATTAAATTATGAAGCACCATACAATAATTCAGCACAAAAAAACAGCTAAATTATAATTAAACCCAGATCAAGTACCTGTGCTTCTTCCTCCTCAGTGAAGTCATTCTTAATATTGAATGTCTTGCGAATTTCCTCTGGAGTTTTCCCCTTGATCATGTTTGCAACTGTCTTGCATGTGACATCAAGCAAACCTTTGATGTCCAAGTAATTTGCAGCCTGCAGAAGAGTTTCCAAATTTAAAGCCTCCATATCGATATTCTGCCTCTGTAGATGTACTACCAAAGTTACGCTCATACTGAAAAGCTGGAGAATACTGTAACTGCAAAGAGATCCTCTTCACTTTGAGAAGCTTCTAGCTAGAACCTTGAAATAACAGCACCTAAGACTTGCTTGCCAAACAGAAGGGAAAGTCAGTTGTACCATGAAAGATGCACACCCCTGCTCCTCCTTTTACAAAGAGCTTTCAGAAGCCTGCAAACATCTGAGATCTTCAGTGCTAAAGTGCTGTTAACTAGCTAAGACAAGTAATGTTGGCTCCCAGTACCATACAAGGTACAAATTTCAAAAGTCAAAGCTAGATTTTTAATTTGTATGCAGATCGCCATTTCTAGTAATAAGCCCTCATCTAAGACTCAAGAGCCACAAGAATAAAGACAGCTGTAGGGCCCCATATTCAGAAAAGTACATTAATTAATAAGTGAGCAAGTACAGATTAATGCCTAGCATTAGGTCACCGAGCATTCTAACATCAACAACTTCAGCCAGTAGCTGCCAGAGGTACTTGTCCTCTCCTCACATCCCCCCCAGTGAAGAAGTTACTCAAGAAGCACAAAGCAGCACTTACTCGCCAAGCGCACTTCAGAGGCGCAGCCTTAACACTTCTTAAACAATACTTACCAGGATAAGTTCAAAAAGTGTTCCTTGGTCTACTTTCAGAAACTCTTGATCCCATACAGGGATGTCATCTGTTCTTTTTTCTTTGTTCTCATCGTCCTCAGGAGGAGGTGGATCGTCCTTGTGATGGGTGCACCACTGAATCACCTAATTATGGTTTTGATATTAAAAAGTTTTATCCAAACGATCCTCCCATTAGGCCCCAACTACAACAACTTCGTTTTAGAAGAACTGTATCTTTTTCTCTAGATTACTATTAGAATCCTGTAGGAACATGCTCCATTACCTAATATTCTCATCTCAGAACTTCAAATCCTGAAGTACAACAGCCTTCAAGAATTCCATCTGAGACAGTCGTTAATTACCATCTTAAGAGCCAGCTGCTGGA